AAAGTCATGCTCCACCACCCCCAGCTTTATTTATTTTTATTTTATGTGTATGAGTGTATTGCCTGCATGTATGTAAGTACGCCTGTGTCATACAATGCCTACAAAGGTCAGAAGAGGGTGTTGGGTCCCTGGAACTGGAGTTATGGGCAGTTGTTAGCTGCCATGTGCTGGGATTAAAGGCGTGTGCAGTTAAAAAATTTAATGTGTTTTCTTAAACGTGAAAGGAAAACATTGGTTATAATAACCTTAAGAGTTAGATTGTTTTTTTTTGGCTATTTGAGACAGGGTCTCCCAGTGGCCCCAGCTGGCTTGGGACTCACTATGTAGACCAGGCTGACAGTCTACCTCTGCCTCCTAAGTGCTGGGATTAAGGGTGTGTACCACCATGCCGTGTCTCAAGAGCTACATATTCTTTTAAGGTGAATTTTAAGGATCCTTTTACATAGTACAAAATGAATCTTCTTAAAAATTGGCCTGCTCATGGCTGGAGAGATGGCTCAGTGCTTAAGAGTACTGGCTGCTCTTGCAGAGGATCCAGGTTTGATTCCTAGAACCCACATGGCCACTAACAACCACCCGTAGTTCCAGTTCCAGGGGATCTGACGCATTCTTCTGACCTCCACTGGCACTGCATGACACAGGTGTACCGACCTACATGCAAGCAATACACTCATACAAATAAAATAAAAATAATAAAATTTTAAAAAATTGGCCTGCTCAAAACTTAAAATATAGCACTTTCTAGACATATATTATTAGAATTACTCCTTTTTTTCCAACTCATATACAATGTTCACAAAATTAGGTTTTTCTTGTCAAAAATGGAAAGCTAAACAAAGTTGAGGGAAACATATATACATATACACATATATATGGAAGAAAATACAGATAATAAAATTCAGGGAGGTATTAATTTGGAAGACTGTGGGAGAGAAAGGGTAGGATGAGGAGCACAGATAGGTTTCGCTATATTAGTAATGATATTAGGTAAAGGATTTAGGGTTTAAAGCCTTTTAAACCTGTAACTTTAAACACGTATGAATTGTAAGTAATTCATATAACAATCATTCTGAAGTTCAACAGTATTTCCAGGGGAAACACATTTTAATTTTTAAAATAACATAAGAACATGAAAAGATGCCTAACAGGGCTGGGGGTGTGACAGAGCACTTGTGTAGCATGTGAGGGGCCCAAAGTTTTTAGTGTTCACCACAGATTTATAGTAATCAAAAGGTA